AGACAATACGTTAGTTTAAAGGAAATACAAATTCTTGTCTTGTTTGCTTTTCGTTCAAAATTTGAATCTTTGCCAACAATGTACACAGGTCTACAGATATTGATTTCTTCTGGGTCTCGTCGCAATTCGTCTCAAGATGTGTTTTATAGGCATTTTTGATGGCTATGTTAAATACTGTTCATATCTAGGTAGTGTCGAACAAATTAGTACAGTAAGCAATAAAGAATGACGAGTATTTAAACAAGTTGCTGTGTCACGATAACAACGTATTTTGTAGGTAAAAGCAGATGAGGTGTGATTCACGGTCGCCTACATACCCCGCATTAATAGCTCACCTAGCCCAAAGGACCAAGCAAGATCCGTCCGTCCATCAACTTATCATTCAAACGACTTCCTCTGGCGATCCAAAAGACAAAGAGTCATAACATTTAGCTGGTATCTTCCTAGGATAGAGCCAAACACACTTTGTGGACAAAAACGACATTGACCTTCTTTCAATGTCACAGTGGTCAAATACGTCAAAAACTTCAAACATTTTCTTCTGGAGATTGGAAAGTCTTAGAATCGTGATATAAGGCTGGAAGCTTTCTAACATAAAGCCTAACACATCTTACAAGTAAAAATAACCTTTGTCAAAGTCTTTAAACAATTTAATCTGAAGAACTGAAAATGCCTAGAATAAAGATATTTGGCAGGTACATGTAGTTTCCTTGGATGGAAAAGTTTGCACAGAAAATTAGACCTTGATCCACTGTGAAGGTCACAGGGGTCAAATATGTCGACATCTCATCTAAAGAAAAACTGGAAGGCCTAGAGTCTTGACCGTTGCTTAAATATTCCTTGTATTAAGCCCGACAAAGTTTGCAAACTAAAATAACCTTTACCTACTTCATAGGTCAATAAGATGGAAACATTTTACATTCCTTCTCTGTAACTATTTACAATGGCAAATTCATTCATGCTACCAGGATTGAGTCAGGGTTCCATCTCCACCCCTGAGGGCTTACATTTTTGGTCATGACATAGAACCAGTTCAGATCACCAGCATATAACCAAATAAACAATTATTGGCCATGTAGGATGACTACTGTCATGCTTCTACAATGTAGGATTAGATCTGAGGTCCCGTCTCACCATTTTGTTTTGGCAAGAGTTGAGATCCTATCCTATAACCATATATTAAATTGGTGAGCATGGAGAAACAACCATATTCACGTCCTTAGCGCCATTACTGTCCCTAGGGATTTAGTGCTTGCTACAGCTTATATTGTTTTGCACTATTTGATTAAAGTGCTCAATAGTCAACAGGTTTTAAAATAAAATAGAAAAGTCTAGGTGAACTATCAAAGCCCTGGGCCTCTTATTATCTCTGCGAGGCCATGTAACCCCCTGCCTGGTTATACTCATTGGATAGGGGGAGCCAGCCGTGGTGGTATTTAATGATAAGAGATAGTGTTGGAGACTTTGATTTATTCGCATGAAATAACCACGTTTCATATGTTGATTTTGTGACAGTGTGTCATCATAAAAGTATCTGCGTAGCCCCAGAGTTGGTTTGGTTTTATAGGGTTTAACGTCCTATCAACAGCTAATGTCATTCAATGACGTGTGGAGGGCTCGGAAGGGTGTATGGTTAAGTCTGAAGTAGTTATATGTTACCCCCAGAATTGCACAAAGCAATCCTCGCCCAATGTTTCTGACCTACATGTATGTGCAATTGATTTAAAAGGTGAACTTTACTTAAAATGAAGAAATATATATCGTTTTTCCTTTGACATTTATTTTTATTTCATTGAAAATTTGAGGTTATATGGTAGTTCTAACAAGATAATAGTAAATATGTAAACTCGCAAATGATATATCTGCGCTATCTGCTATTATAAGGTGCATATTAGAAATACAATTCAACGTTCTGCATTGTGTAATAAGTGGATTTAGACTCCAGGTGGGATGTCCATGTCACCTTCCTTCCATTGAGAATTAAAAAGAGGTGATTTAACCGTTATCATTTATGAAAAAGTACATTTCCATGATATTTCGTGTAAATTGACAGATCATACACAACTTTATTAAATGAAACATGTAAGTTTAAATTTCATGAACAATTCATCATAAAAGGTAACACATTTTAAAATATGTAACAATAAAACATAAAGCATCTATCATATTAATTATTTTTTTCGCGGGGCGGGGGTAGGGGATGGAGGCAAGGCATTAAGAAGAATTTTGTTCTATATCACAATATTCAAAGTTGCGAAAGCTAGTAAAAAGCAGTTAGATTCAAACATTAAGCCGTATATTCTTCAATATTAAGACAATGTTCACACAACACAACACTTATAACACCTACATATACCTTGCACATTGCTAACTGTTCTATGTACAGTGATATCATCTATTTCATACAGTACAGTGATTTCAACTAGGTGAATAGTAATTAGAAACTACTTTTTAACTTGATAATCATGTAATTTAAAAGCATTTGTCCTCTTTCTATTATTATTAATATCAATTTTAATTTTTAATAGTAATGGGATACTTGGAGATGTTCTCATTATAGGATGTCTGGCACAGGTTATTGATATTTGATTATTATGAAACCACATGTCCATTATCCTGAAATACTAAAAAAAATTCCTTGGTAATGTTTTATAAATGAAACCCAAAAGTTATGTCTTTTTATGAGTATTTTAGGTAAACCTTTTTTTTACGATGAAATGATATGTATCAGGTGTTTTAATAATGTCTCGTAGGTCAGCATTTAGCCGGATATTAATTCCTGTTAATGATTTTTATATTGTATTTGTTTTACTGTGAAATGATATGCGACACTTTATTAAAATAATTTTATTATTATTATATTTAACAGGAGATATATTCCCCACAGAAAAAAAGGGAGCTTCACACGCGAGATTGGAGAAGCGTAAGGCTGTATACAGTTTTGCTAGTTAAAGTGTGTCAACGATAACGTAACGTCTGGTCAAAGCTTGTGTCGATTAAACATTAGCGTCGGCCCCCACTTGGAGTTTAAAACAGGATAATTACAAAAATGAATTGGTATAGGAACCTTAAATCATGAATAGATAGTTTCTGAATTCATTTTAAGACAAATGGGACCTCATTGACTAACACCCGTGTCAGTTTTAAAGGTGCGGTTATAAAATTGCTCATAGAGTTTTTTTGACACTGTTACTATATAAAATTATATCATCATCGTGTAAACAAATTTCCAACTATTATTTTGATACCAAATATGACACTATTTCAAGAAATCATGTTTTTTATTGAAAATTTAACCAGAAAATATTGTGAAACAGTCATTTACTAATGAGACTCATTTTGGACACGTTAATATGTATAGTTCTGAAACGAGTCTATTTTAATAACAGTATTTGGCTACCAAGAGTTGTTTTATGAATGGAAAATAAAATAAAATGCATATTTAGTAAGCAAAGCTATGTAAAAATTGTTGTCAGTGTGAAAGCCAATTACCTAAAATAAAAGTCAATGGGATAAAATGTAGTTATCTAATAGTGACTGGTTTTGCTCTCGTCAGCTTCCATCAAAATGTCACTTCCAAGAAGACCGACAGTGATAGTCTCGGAATGGTCGGGTAGCACAGTGGATAGCGTACTTAGCTTTCACCAAGCAGGCTGGGGTTCGATTCCTAGATTTGACTTTTTTTTGTCATATTACGTCTCTAATTTTATCTCTGTTTTAGTATCAAATTAAAGTTTTTTTAGTATATAAACCATCAAAACTTATTTTTAAAACGCCTTTTCAAAATTTTATTAGCCTGCAACATTTACATTTGTATATCTGTCATTTTATTAAGGTACCCCGCGGTCACTCAACCTCGTGTTATCACGGACAACTCCGTGGTGTCCGCTTCGCCTATCACTTACACAGGGACATGATAATTTGTTACAGCTATATTTGAACCTAAACTAAGGTGTTCAGAGTAATTTTACATGATTTAGGGGTTTATATCGACTTTCAGTAAAAATGACACCCCCATTGACCATATATATATATAAACGTGAATGTCGGAAAGTTATCAATGTCGATAAGTCGACCCCACCTAACTTTCTTGCATCAAAAAACAAAATTTCTAGTTAATCTACGGAACAAGGCTTAGTAACGTTGGATCTAATGTTTCTTTTAAACCCCTCCTATATGCACGTAAAATGTATTCTCCTTCTGCGGACAAGAGGCACACGCTGACCTCAACCTCATAAACATTTTTAAAAAAGTGGCACGATGACTGCGAAAACTTTGAAACTCTGAAATGGCGTGTGTTTTTGTAGGAGACGGAGATCATGTCCGCGGAAGGAGAATACATTTTACGTGCACATAGGAGATTTTTTTTAAGAAAAAATATCCATCCTTCCAAAGGTACTTAGCATTTTTATACGTCTATGATGTAAGATAGGTGGGGTCCACTTTTCGACATCGGCCTGTATCGGGAGCTTTTCGCCCTACTTCTCGTATATATATGAGGGGACGTCATTTTTACTGAAAGTCGATCTAAACCCCTAAAATATGTAAAATTACTCTGAACATCTTTTATAGTTTAGGTCCAAACACAGCTTTAACTAATTATCATGCTGTGATCACTTACAGCGGTACCATAAAAGAAATTGAAGTGGGCAGAGTGCTGAGCCCACCATTGACCTACATTGTATGTCATACATATACATTATGTATGTATTTTTCACGCATTGAATCCATAGGGCCTATAATTATGCGATTGAACGGCATTTGATTCGCAAGTTGAACCGATCGTTTAAATCACGCGCGGTAATTTAATTAGCTACCTATTTCCGGAATTCTTTAACTTGCCATTCGGAACTCCCAAATAGTAAAGGTAAAAAACACACGTACTTTTGATTTCCATATGCGTACCGTTAAGAAAATGGCTGCTAGGACTAGACGGTGTTTACGCAGGTAGCTGAATTCCAGGAAACGTCAGGCGTTTCGTGATGATCGGGCATGTACGTATAACATTTATACCAGGAAGTAAGTTACCCATATCACTTATTTCCTGACCACAGAACACCACAATACTAGTCTACCGTAAACAGAAGAATCTGTGAAAAAAATTCATGTAAACCGACAAGTTTCTGCAATGTGAACAGCGCGTGAACATACAATTGTTCAACCTGAAAGATCAACAGGGAATGGAGAAATTTGTGGTAAGTTTTAGACAATGACACTGGATCATGACACTTAACCAAAGGTGCTCGGGTTCTTACACCACTGTGATAATTAATAACGTTAGATATAGTTGGGTTCTAGAATATAAATAACATCATGTTTGCACCCCACTAGAAAAGATGAGATAAATTTTACTTATACTAGCCTAATAAATCGTTGTGCGATACTTAAACAGAAAATGTTAAATATATTCTAGAACCCTAATAATTTATAATTGCAGTGTCATTTAAGTCCGTGTTAGGAAAATAATTACTTAAAAATGTAAAATACCCAAGTGATATTTATAAGATATTCTGTTGTAAAAGTGATTAATTAATTATAAATGATAAATAATCCCTATCCTTGGCTCATTTTGTAAGTGCATTCATTCATTGATTTAACCTTCTCATTTATGAGAAGGTTAAATTAATAAATGAAGGTAAACACAAAAATTATTTTAAGTATTAGCAAATTTCCCGTTTTTATTCTCCTAGTTGCAAACGACCTTCTAGTTCTTGTGCACCAGAAATTAAAAATTGTTTTGAATAAAACGTAGTCCTGTGTTTAGGAACAGCAGCATTGTTTGTATTGGAAAATCTGGTGACTCTTCTATGCAGATCACTCACAGGTGTGATATTTTCACACAAATAACTTGGCACCATACCATGCATACATTTATAAAACAACAGTACTTTCCTAAGTGTAAAATATTTTTCAATAGGCAGCCATCTTAGAACAGAAAATGTGTTATCAGAAGGTGTATCATATGGTACATCAAGTATGATACATGCTGCATGTTTTTGTGCTTTATATAATTTACCCATCAGGTTCTTAGAGCAACCTGACCATACATTGCAACAATAGATAAAGTGCGGAAACACACAGGAATTGTAAAACTGTATCTACCCTGTAGGGGTAGATAAGAACGAATACCCTTTAATAAACCTAAACGTTGTCTGATTTTGTTCACAGTTTTTTCAATGTGATTTTTCCAAAATAGACTATCGTCTAGATACATGTACACCCCTAAAAGTTTTTCGCTGTTCACTTGTTCTACTTCAGTGTCAACAAGCTTAAGATTAAGTTGTACATCAGTTCTTGACAGTTTTTGTTTTGATGCAACAACCATACATTTTGTTTTTTGGACATTTACAATCTACATGAAAACATAATCTCATGCAGACTACATGATATGGATATGAGTTAGCCATAGACCAAAATCACTTGTATACTCTATTGAGTATTTATATATAAAATATATAAACCCTTCAATATTATTTCTGTGTGTACTCACAGCTGAAGCCTGGCACCCGTGTGGTGCGGGGCCCGGACTGGAATAGCAAGAAGCAGGACAGTGGAGAGGGATATCTTGGTACTGTCATCTACGTCCCTAAGTCAGAAATGGCAGACAAGAAAGTCACAGTCATATGGGACTCAGGACGAGAGCTGCGGTATCGCTCTGGACATGACGGGAAATATGACCTGAGAATATTTGATACAGCACAAATAGGTGAGGGCTGCACTCAAACCTGTTCATACAGCCACCTCAATTAATTAGAGACAATTAACCTGCATTAACAGATCACTTTTGATGTTCCTCATTGCAGTGATTTCATTGTGAACCGGTTTGAAGAGCCAATCTGGTTTTAGAGATCACTTTTTGAACTTTCTGATAAACATTTAGCCATACTAAAATATATTGGGTTTCTATCATTTTTTTCCCCTTGTTATCTTTTCAAATTAAGAGCCTCCCTTTAACAATGGGAAAGTTAGACTGGCAACTTCGCTAACAATGACTTCGGCCAAATACTAAAGTAGTTTGCTTCCTGTTACCCTACCTACCCTATACCTACCCTAATAGCATGCTTACCCTAAACTTTTTTTTAATTTTCAAAGAAGCATTGTTAAAACCAAGATCCCATCTTCTATATATGTATGTAAACCTTTTGGAAAAAATGAAAAATAAAATGTATTATTTTCCTAACTTCTCTGATATTTTGCAGACATGTAAACAACATATGTAACCATTTAAATACACTTACGTTTTTTTCACAGATAAAATCATTTATAATAGAAGATACAATCAGTTAGAGAGATAATTATTATTAATGTCTCTCTCTCTCTATTTTTTTTACCATACATTACATTAACATATAGATGTAAACAACCATGAGAGTGCATTTTGTACTCAAGAGGTTTGGTAAAAATTATTAGTGCTCTGTATTAATCTCAAATGTTGACGGTTTTAGGTATCAAACATGAGTATGTCTCCTGCTCTGAGTGTAAAGAGACACCGATCGCTGGACTTCGGTGGAAATGCTCTTCATGTCCAGACATTAGCCTATGTTCCCCCTGTTATATGGGCGACAAACACGACATCAGACATGGCTTTGTTAGGATAGATGTGGAGAAAGCTACTCCGTAAGTATTTGTGGCACACTTCACTTTGAGTTTTTGTGGCACACTTCACTTTGTGAGTAGTTGTGGTACAATGTATGCTGTATTTGCGGTACACTTCACTTTGTAAGAAGTTGTGCACACTTCACTTTGTTAGTAGTTGTGGCACACATCACTTTGTGAGTAGATGTACGTGGTACACTTAACTTTGTGAGTAGTTTTGTTACAATGTATGCTGTATTTGCGGTACACTTCACTTTGTGCGTAGTTGTGGCACACTTTACTTTGTGAGTAGTTATGGCACACTTCACTTTGTAAGTTGTTGTGGCACACTTCTCTTTGTGAGTAGTGGTGGTACTATGTATGCTGTATTTGCGGTACACTTCACTTTGCGAGTAGTTGTGGCACCCTTCACTTTGTGAATAGTTGTGGCACAATGTATGCTGTATTTGTGGTGCACTTCACTTTGTGAATAGTTGTGGCACAATGTATGCTGTATTTGTGGTACACTTCACGTTGTGAGTAGTTGTGGTAAAATTCACTTTGTGAGTAGGTGTGGTACACTTCACTGTGTAAGTAGTTGTGGTACACATCACTTTGTAAGTAGTTGTGGCACACCTCACTTTATGAGTAGTTGTGGCACCCTTCACTTTGTGAGTCGTTGTGGTACAATGTCTGCTGTATTTGTGGTTCACTTCACTTTGTGAGGAGTTGTGGCACACTTTACTTTGTGAGTAGTTTTGGTACACTTCACTTTGTAAGAAGTTGTGCACACTTCACTTTGTAAGAAGTTGTGCACACTTCACTTTGCGAGTAGTTGTGGCACTCTTCACTTTGTGAGTATTTGTGGCACACTTCCCTTTGTGAGGAGTTGTGTCACACTTCTCTTTGTGAGTAGTGGTGGTACTATGTATGCTGTATTTGCGGTACACTTCACTTTGCGAGTAGTTGTGGCACATTTCACTTTGTGAAAAGTTGTAGTACAATGTATGCTGTATTTGTGGTGCACTTCTCTTTGTGAGTAGTGGTGGTACTATGTATGCTGTATTTGTGGTGCACTTCTCTTTGTGAGTAGTGGTGGTACTATGTATGCTGTATTTTTGGAACACTTTACTTTGTGAGTAGTTTTGGCACACTTCACTTTGTGAGTAGTTGTGGTACACTTCACTTTGTAAGTAGTTGTGGCACACTTCACTTTGTGAAAAGTTGTGGTACAATGTATGCTGTATTTGTGGTACACTTCACTTTGTGAGTAGTTGTGGCACCCTTCACTTTGTGAGTATTTGTGGCACACTTCACTATGTGAGTAGTTGTGGCACCCTTCACTTTGTGAATAGTTGTGGTACACTTCGCTTTGTGAGTAGTTGTGACACACTTCACTTTGTGAATAGTTGTGGCACAATGTATGCTGTATTTGTGGTTCACTTCACTTGGTGAGTAGTTGTGGCACCCTTCACTTTGTGAATAGTTGTGGTACACTTCACTTTGTGAGTAGTTGTGGCACACTTCACTAATTTGTGAGTAGTTGTGGCACACTTCACTTTGTGAGTATATTTGTGGTTACATTTTGTCTTAGATTTTTGTGGTATGTTTAGCAACATGATGACTTTTTGTGGTACAATATATATACTGTAAGTATTTGTGGTACACCTCACTTTGTGAGTATATTTGTGGTTACATTTTGTCTTAGATTTTTGTGGTATGCGTTATTATATAGGGATTGAACAGTGTTTTTTTAATTTTCATGTCGGTATAAACCTAAATCGGTTACAATCCATATTGTAGCGGGCTTCATGTTTAATATGAATGTAACCGATGTGCATTCATACCGGCATGAAAATAAAAAATACACTGTTCAATCCTTATATTTACATTTTTACTATTCCGCGTATTGAAAAGTTATCTTCTCTTGTGAACAGGTATTGATTGTTACGTCATTGGTTTGTGTGAGAAAATTACGTCGTTTTCTCAAAAATTGATGACTTACGTTAACATTCCTCTCACAAACCAATGACGTAACAATCAATACCTGCTCACAAGAGAAGATAACTCTGCAATACGCAAAGACGGAATAGAACAACTGTTAAACTTTATCTATTTGTTTTAAATAATTTATTTATTTACTGCGTTTTGTATTTTCATCGTAATTTAAACGACATTGGCGGAACAGCACTTTTTAACTAAAATTGGCGCCAATAATTAGCTGTAGTCATTTGAGCGTTTCACGCAGGGGTATTCTCCATGTTATCCGAAGCAAAGCAGCAAGACTCTCATTGAACAAGGTTAATCTATGACGTCATAAGTAAACCATGTGTTACATCACAAGATTTTCTGCTTTCATACTCAAATGACATGCATTTCTGCTTGTAATGTTCATATTGTGGATTGCAGTGGAAATGTAAATATACTATGATGAATATTTGTTGTGCTGTATACTGTAAGTATTCGTGGTAAAGCTTTGGATAAGTTTACATGGTACCCTATATCTTGTGGTTTTCTACCTAGTAAATCAAATGAGCCCTGGTCTTGTACATATATTACATAATTACTTTTGTCATGTCAGCGAAATGACTCCTGACCTTTTTTGACACAACCACTTTGCAGATGGGCTGTTCAAAAGCGAGAAGGAAGTCGACAAGAGGATTCTAGAGGTATGTTTGTTGGTACAGAAGTCATGAGAGGACCACATTGGAAATGGAAAAATGTCGACGGTAATTAACTTTCATTTTAGATATGATTTACATTAGGGTTGAATATTCCAGGCAGTTTTCAGACATTGCAATGTATGGCTGTATTTAAAGAATATTGCAAACATATGATAATATATATATTGTATTTCAAAAAATTCATTTCATAATGATTTTATATCAGAAAATACGAAAACTTGTCATCAGGATCAGTAAGCTTTGATCATAAATTAGAAATACTTGATCTTGTTTTAGAAGAACTTTATTACATTTAGAAAACTTCTTTTGGATATTATTTATTCAACTTTAATTAGCATTATTTTGTAAGATTTCTAATATGAGTTGAAAGATAATTGCAGTATTAATTGTTCCTTTTTAAAATCATACTGCAATATATAGACAAGATTTGCATTATATCAGTGTATTGCAATTTTGTTCCCGACCCTTAGTTCACATCATGAAGCCGTATTATGCAGTACAGTAACATTATATGATAATTAGGGGTGTTCAGGTGGCACAGTGGATAGCACACTTGTCTTTCATCAAGGCAGTTGATTCCGAGGTTCAATGCCTCGATTGGATGTGAAATGGTTTAAGGTCACCTGCCCGATTATGTGGGTCTCTCTTGGTACTCGGGTTTCCTCCCACATACAGATGGTCCACACGCTAACATCCGGGCCAACAAGAGTAATTAATATAAGTTGTAATAATTTGTTACATATATAATTGTTGTAAAAATAAATAAAGTTTATATTATATGATAATAGTCCAGTCTAGAGTCTTTTAAGAAGGAATACCTGCAGAAGCTTTTATAGATGTGAGCATTTTTTGGTATGGACGACCAACTTGAAGCTCACCCTGCAATATTTTTACCTAGCTAGTCTGAGTCTTTAAAGAAGGAATACCTGCAGAAACTGTTTTATATGTGGCAAACAGTTTCATAGTTAAACTCATCAGAATCTGCATATGTGATATTGGTATTATTTATGTAAACTGACTATGTCATTGTATGTATCATGTCCATTGTAAATTGACGGAGACACGTTATAATTAGTCTAGTGGTAGCTTATAGGACGCCGGGCTCGTGACCAAAGGGTTGCGGTTTGAGCCACGGCACTGTGTTGTATCTTTGAGCAAGATACTTTACTCCGCTTGTTTCAGTCTACTCACCTATAAATGAGTACGTGGTTGGGTAGTGCTAGAATTGTTGAATGCTAGCTGTGAGCGCCGAAATGGCAGCTCCGGTTGTATGCTCCCCAGGGAGTTGAGAAAGATGTTGACTTAGGTTGCAAAGGCCCTATAACCACGGATAATAGATTGTGAACCGCTGTGAGACGACCTACAAACTAGGTTGTGATAAAGCGGTATATAAGAACCTCCTATTAATATTGTTATTATTACAGGGCCATATTGTAAATTAGATATAAATCTAAATATTTAAGCCAGCAGGCTAAAAGAAAATTAAAAAAAATATAAACAAACTGTAGGTCCTATAATATGATAGGGAAGTTAACATTTTATCATTACTCTACATGTTTAATATATATCTTGAATAACATTATAAGAATTAAAAAAATTGTGATATAAGTGTTACAGTTTATTAAGTTTAATATTTAATGCTATCTTTTTAAAACAAAAAATATAACAATCTTCTGTGATCACAAGCTTATAGGCTTGTTTGAAAGGAATCTGTATAAATAATAAAAAATTTAACCCTTCATTCACACATTTTTGCCTGGTCAGGAGGCGAAGGGGAGATTGGTATAGTCACAAAACTAAAAGAATGGAATAGCCACTCTCAGCGAGGGGGTGTATCCATTTCTTGGAAGAATGCCAAGGAGGAACATTTGCATCGCCTGGGTGGAGAAGGCTGTGTAGATGTCATCTTTAATCGTAGTAAACAGTCAAAATCGGGAGGCAAATATTACCCAGAACACCTACCGCTGGTCGGTAAGTCTGAATTTATAAAGTGTGTCATTTTCATTCCTTACTTCATCAGACCAAATAAAAATCTTGTATTTCTGCTGACCCTACCTACCCCAGATTTGTGTGCCTACCCTTAAGTTTGTATTGCCATTTAGTGATATGCACTGTTCAAGACATTTCCCCCCCCCCCCCCCCCCCCCCAAATAATTTGCCTACCTACCTACTTATCCTATTTTTTTCTGAGGATGATAGCGGATTTAACACAAGTAATATATATTTTATTTTCCTCATGGAAAATCTTTGATGCTGAGAGAAATTGGCCTTTTCAGCAATTTTGAGTTAATATTAACAAGTTAAGGGGGCCAGCCATTTTATGTACAATTTTAAAAGAAAATGGGAAATAGTAGTAGTGTTCTGATTAATCATCTTTCTCAATCATTGGTTATTTAGGCCAATAAACTAATCAATCTACTACAGAATTCCTGATCGCTTTTAGTTGGAATAATTGTGTAGATATTATTGAGTATTAGTAGAGTGATTCATGTTTTTAATTTCTGTAAGCGACTCACTACCACAACATGGAGGATTTCACAATGTATTTCCTTAAAATCGTTCATCCTTTGTGTAATGGTAACCAATGATTGATTATAAAATTTTCAATAGATTTCCGACCGTAAAAAATAGGAGTGTGCAGTTTCTGTTTTGAAGGACACAGGGCCCCAATGGCCTACTTGAGCATTATCTCTGCAGTTTAATACCATTCCATGTCTATCATGTTGTTCATTATGTTCATAACTGATGTGTGCTGGATATCATATGGCAGAAATTAATCCCCACACATCTTTCTGTTAGGGTAATGTATTAAACTCTGAACTGAATTTAATTGTCAATTGAGCATAGGAAATGATATTCTCAGCTACATTATATACCTACTGTCCATTTATATAACATGTAAGTCCAAGGATGCTCAAGATTGAATATTGCTTTAACCTCTTAATCTGTTTGAAAGGAAAGGGATTTCATTATTCTCAATCATCATTTTATTCTGTTAACTTGCCAACAATCCCCATTTCTGAGAGTCAATTTAATTAATTCGGAGCCTTAAAAGGCCTAGAGAATTTCTGCTGTATTTTCCCCGATTCAATGCAAAATCGCTTTATTATCCCCAAACCATGTTTTTTTGTGTGTGTGATATTTCCCCAAAGTCACAAGGCTAAGTGTCAGGCCCCTGTGGAAAGTAGGTAGAAAAACCACTGCCAACTGCATGCTTAGTGAAAGTGGGAGTGTCACCACTGTGTTGTCCGACCAAGGCCATCCCATGTTGCCACTGATTTAAGAAACAAACATCAATTCTAGTGATAGCAGAACTTGCCTTAATAACAATCTGGATCCCATTTACAGGCTGCAATATAACTAAGTCATATCACAGAAGAATACAAAATGTGATATTTTTAGGGTCCACTTGATTGTTTTGCTTTAATGTAATGGGAATGTTTGTTGTTTGTGTATTTGTAGATGTCGTAAATAAGGGTAACTATACTGTGGCTTTGAAACCTTCTGACAAAGTTCAGGTGTGCATGGACGTCAAGGCTCTTAGGCAGCTTCAGGATAACCCCGACAAACACTCACCCTGGAGCTCAGAAATGGAACAGGTCAGTAATATCGGGATAGTTGATGGCCAAAAGCTTGTTCAATACCACAGAACAAATAATGTAAATTAAGTAACAAACAGTCCAAGATAGCATTTATTAGGCCCTGGAACATGGACATTTCACAGGCTTTATATATAGCTGGTACATATGTACCGATATGTTCAGGAATCAGCTCAGAAAATTATAGGCCCTGAATTATGATATTGAACATTTCATGACCAGCTGCAGTTACTCCATATCCCAGAAAAATATAGGCCCTGAAACATGGACATTGCATAGGCTAGTCATTGTATGTCCAGGATAGCTCAGAAAAATATAGGCCCTGAAACATGGACATTGAACACAACAGTGGGTCTAATTAGATACTGTGTCCTGGGAAACTTTCGACCGACCCTAGTAAAAGCCCCCCATTATTAATTTCACCCTAACCTAGTAAAAGCCCCCCATTATTAATTTCATTCTACCCTAGTAAAAGCCCCCCCCCCCATTATTAATTTCCCCCCTCCCCAGGAAAAGCCCCCCATTATTAATTTCACCCTACCCTAGTAAAAGCCCCCCCCCCCATTATTAAATTCACCCTACCCTAGTAAAAGCCACCCATCATTAATTTCATCCTACCCTAGTAAAAGCCCCCCATTATTAGCTCACCTGGCACGAAGTGCCAAGTGAGCTTATGCCGTGGCGCGGCGTCCGGCGTCTGTCCGGCGTCAATATTTTCCTTTAAACGACATCTTCTTAATAACTGAAAGGCCTAGGGTGATGATATTTGGCCAGAAGCAAACTGGGATGAAGGGCTACAAAGTTCGTTAAAATTCATGACCTACACCCATTTTCAAGGTCACAGGGGTCAAATATGTTAAAAACTTTAAACATCTTCTTTTCGATAACCAAACTGCCCAGGGAGATGATATTTGGCCAGTAGCATGCTTGGGTGAAGGGCTACCAAGTTTGTTCAAATGAATGACCTTCAATTATATTCAAGATCACAGGGGTCAATTGTCTTAAAAAACCTTTTAACAACTTCTGAATAACCAAAATGCCCAGGGTGATGATATTTGGCCAGTAGCATGCTGAGATGAAGGGCTACAAAGTTTGTTCAAATGAATGACCTTCACCCATATTCAAGGTCACAGGGGTCAAATATGTTAAAAACTTTAAACAACTTCTTCTCAATAACCAAAAGCCCAGGGTAATGATATTTGGCCAGTAGCATGCTGCGATAAAGGTCTACCAAGTTTGTTTAAATAAATGACCTTCACTTATATTCAAGGTCACAGGGGTCAAATATGTTAAAAACTTTAAACAACTTCTTCTCAATAACCAAAAGCCCAGGGTAATGATATTTGGCCAGTAGCAAGCTGCGATAAAGGTCTACCAAGTTTGTTTAAATAAATGACCTTCACTTGTATTCAAGGTCACAGGGGTCAAATATGTTAAAATCTTTAAACAATTTACTTCTTCTGAATAACCAAAGTGCCCAAGGTGATGATATTTGGCCAGTAGCATGCTGAGATGAAGGGCTAAAAAGTTTGTTCAAATGAATGACCTTCATCCATATTCAAGGTCACAGGGGTCAAATATGTTAAAAACTTTGAACAACTTCTTCTGAATAACCAAAATGCCCATGGTGATGATATTAAGTCAGTAGCATACTTGGATCAAGGGCTACCAAGTTTGTTTAAATGTATGACCTTGAATCATATTCAAGGTCACAAGGAGCAAATATGTTCAAAATATTTAAAAAACTTGTTCTGAATAACCAAAAGGCTCAGGATGTTGATATTTAGTCAGTAGCATGCTGGGATCAAGGACTACAATGTTTGTTAAAGTGAATGACTTTGACTTATATTCAAGGTCACAGGGGTCAAATTTGTTTAAAATCTTTAAAACGACCTCTTCTGAATAACCATGGGTCCCAGGATGTTGATACTTTGCAAGTTGCATCCTGAGAT